GCTTACTTTCGAGACTAATTTTGCTCTAGATTACTACTCAAAACATGACGTTGTATGTGGACTTTAACATCATTTGTTGTGATTAATATTATCTTTAAACTCAAGGTAACTAATAAAGAAAGTATTTTCTGATGTCGTTTTGGATAGTCTTTCACGGGATTCCAAGGTCATGTTGTGTTTTCTTTCCCTGAGGGCAAGGTTGAGCTATCGCTTCCTCGTTGCTTGTATTTGCCTTCGTTGACGTGAGTTTGCGTTTTCTAGGAATTGAAGCTCTTGCAGGACTACTATGAGTTGCTCCAGTGGGTATGGTAACCTCAAAGGGTCAATATCTGTATTATTTTCATTTTCCTTGTCAGACATCTCAGCTTCTAATTGAGATGCCTCGCACTGCAGTAAATACCAAGATGGCGGACGAGAAACTCTATTCTTGGAGCGAATAACCGCTGGATGTAAGCACCCGTTAGGGTAGCTGATGTCCGGTTCGTGGGCGCGCACAACCTATTTATGCCTGCCAAGCTATCTAAAAGGCCGCAGACCATAATAATAGAGATTCAGGCTCTCATTTAATAATTTAAAACTTAAATAGAAGCAGAGAGGAAGAGTCTGTTTGTTTGTTTGTTTATTTTTTTCTCATTCTACATTTCTCTATTCCATATGCTTATTATTGGTTGAAATCAGCTTGTAGTAATTTTCTTTTTTTTTTCACTGTTTCCTTAAAGCGTAAACTCCCGCTGATTCCTAGTCAGGCCTCAAGTGAGCGTCATTAAAGCGTAACTTTCACTTTTGCAATTGTGGCCTTTCCTAAAACATCCCCATCCAAAACATAAGCCCAAGACGATGAAATTAGGAAGATTGCATGTATTGATAGTGCTTGGAATTGAAATGTTGGTATCGAGAACCGGTAAGTGTAAAAGGAATTCAAGGTAATCCTTCACTTCAGGAGTTTTGTTTTTTTACTATTGTCTTGATGCTCATAGATCAAATTTGAGATCTTACGTTTTTAACGCTTCAAATTGCATTTTTTTACCAACAGAATGAGTTGCTTCCCTAAATTATGAGAAAGATATATACTTGACTACTGGAAGTAAGAAATTTAACGGGGTTTACCGAAACCCGTCGCAAGCTATGGAAGGATTGTCGTTTGGATTGAAAAGAAAGTAAGAGCTTCCATTATGGAAATAAGTGTATGTGTTCCCATTTGATTTAGGTTGGACTTTGCTAAATCATTCTTGAACTGGACCAACGTCCATTAAGTTGCCGCTTTGAAGCTGTATGTTTCATGTACATCATCGCAATCCCAGACACTTAATAAAGCTTTATGGATAAATTCTTGGGAAAGCATAGTAGACAATGTGCCCCACAAATTTCTAGCTCGTCACAATGTCAGTTGTTATGTCCCTTTAACAGACAATTGTCAAGGAGACTGTTTCTTCCATCGTGCTGTTAGTACACGAGGGAAGACATCAACTAAACAAGACATCACCAGTCCTCCTAAAACAAAACTTGTTACTACACAAGTTAAAATGTCAACTTGACAGGGTATGAGTGATGTAGCAGGTAAATTTAAGGATATGTTAAAAAAAAAGTATAACCTGACCCTTCCTGTCAATTTCAATGTACATCAACTTACACAAAATTGCCTCCATAAAATTTCAATGTACATAAAATTACATAAAACTGTTTACATAAACTTATGAGAAAGATATATATTTGACTACTGGAAAGAAGAAATTTAAGGCTATATATAGATTCAAGCTGATGAGGATTTCATCCCATTCCTAAATTACATATAAATATAGCGCATAGCTCACTAGGTCATAGCTCATATAGTGCATAGCTCATATACATATGCGCATAGCTCACCAGGCTTTCCTAGTTTGAGCACTCTGGCATGGCTTAGACAAACTGTAAACTTCTGTGTGGAACAAAGCTACTGAAATAAATGAAAAACGAAAGTCCTCTTTTTCTTTTTCTTT